AAGACACTAATTCACAAAAGCTCGATCTCCGGCCAACTTTAGCTATATAGGTAATCAAGTCTTCCATCATCTTTTATTTTCTAGAAGAAAAAAAAGAGTAATTTTCAACTTTCATATTTTCAAACATAATTTACAAAATAAAAATATGGAGTAAATCATTTAATTTGAAATTTCGATAGTAATTATAAAAAGAAATATAATCGGGGTGGGGTCTTTTATTTTTTTTAATGTTTTGATTGATTCAAAAATACACCAAAATTGTTTGTTTTATTTACCCGTTTTTTTGGGTATTTTTTGACAAATTTGTGTGGTGATATTAAACAGATCGTTTGTGTATCATAAGCATTCAATAAAGCTGGCAATCATAATGGAACAAGAATCCTCTGATCATGTAAGTTATATTTGTTGTTTATACGGAGTATATTTTTTTACTTTTCTGAATATTACAAAATTTGTTATTACTATTTTAAATTAAATGTTGCTAAAATTCTATATTAGGTTTGTGTGTTGAAAGTGGACGTGAATTGTTGCTTCGGCTGTAGAACCAAATTGAAGAAAACGCTTTTGAAGCGCCCTGGTAACTTCAATTTTTAAAGGAAATTATTAATGAACATTAAAATTTTTGAATTAAATTAGATAATTGCTTAGATTTTTAAGATTTTAATCTCGTTTAGACCAATTCATGTTTCATTTCAAAATATATAATCAAACAAGACCTATCAAGTTTTGAATTCTACATTGTAAAATAGTCATACTTTAGGATTAGATTTGGTAATTTACAATATCTTTTGGCATTACATTTGACGTTATTTGAAATTTTGAATTTAATTTTAGTATAAAACGATTGAAATCTTATAGTAAGTTGCATAATTTTATTTTAGTTAAGTATATTTGCCATCAATAATTTTCTTAATTTTCGTGGGGTATGATTCTATAGACGTGTTTTCCGTGAAGTACGACTCAATAACCAAATGGGCCACAGTGAGATGCAACTGCGAGCCGTCCGTGCTGGTGGAGTCCATTAAGAAAATGGGCAAATTGGCCAAAGTTGTGGACCCGGCCCAGTTTCACGCTTCCGCCGGCGACAATAACAAATCGGATCACAATAACAATGGCAGTAAATGCTGCGACTCCAGGGGCAAGAACGAATCTCAGGCGTGTTCCGGCGGAGATGACGGCTGCTTCAAACGCAGCGGCGGATCGAAAACGGAGAAACACGCCTGCGCGCCGCCGCCGCCGGTGGACGAGAGCATCTGCAGGGATCAATTCTGTAAGCTTCACAGGAGACCCGGGAACGGGTTGGATGGATCCGTATTTTGGAATCAAGCCGGCCCGATCGGTCCGAGTTTCGGAGTGCCGCCGCAGCCTTACCCACCGCCGCCTTCTTACGGGTACTACGGTCATCCCGGTGTGATGCCACCGCCGCAACCGCCGGGGTACGGTTTATACCCGGCTGCAATTCAGATGGGCACGCCAGGGGCAAGATTGGAATTTCCTTTCAGCTCTTTGTACGATCAGAATCCTACCCAAGGTTGCAATACAAAGTGATTCAGTGAAGATGATGATCCTCCTAATCCCAGGGGCAAGATTGGAATTTCCTTTCAGATTTAATTCTTCTTGCTATCTTGTGCAACATTCTGAACATTTGCATATGCTAATACATCGAATTCTAAAAAGAGGCCTTAATGTCTATTTTTATTGTAGTGAATGATTTTCTTTTACATTTATATTTATATACTTTTGATTTTTCTAAAGTCAAACTAGTATTTTACTAATGTGATGGATTATATTATATCTAAAATTTGTTATTAATATACGGGGTATTAAATTTAAATTACTTGTCTCAAATTTTAAATAGAATACTGTCGAAAATTATAAATCTAAGTAAAAATAATGTATGATATCCTTCGATAGAAAAGAGTCTACATATGTAAATTTGAATATATTCACTTTGGGAGGATGAAGTATTAAGAATGAATAATAGAGCTACAAGCATTATAGATCATCATTGGTGGAACAAGTGAATAATATCTTATGTCAATTCCCCATTTACATTATGTTTGGTTCAAGAAATTCGAAAATAATAAAAAGAAAATGATTTTTTCTCATTTTATTTTTTTCTTTTTTTTGTATATTTTGTCTTTTCATTTTTTTCTATTTGTTTTCTTTTCTTTTCCTCTCTAACCAAACAAGAAATTAAAACTTTCTTTCCATCTTATTTTCTTTTTTTTACCTTTCAAAATATTTGAACCAAACATATTGTTTTTCTCAGCTCACAAGTATAACCTTAAATGAGCAAATGACTAAAAATAGTAAGTAGCAACCAGTAACCTTCTCATGCCGAGTATTTTATTTCTCATTGTATATTCATTAGACTATTAAAGCATTGATAATGGTCATAAAGCTTTAAGACTAAAACTTATATTCTTTTTACATTTTGAATATATATCTACAAAAATTAAATTAATAACATTTTATTATTTAATTGAGTTTAAAGGAAAATAATTCGTTGAATACAAAAATAGAGCACTAAAAAGTACATTAACAAAATAAGATTTAAATAATAACAAAAAAAATCACATTACTTAGTGAAGAAATTATTAATTATTCAAACTACTAAAAATATATTCAAACAAACCTGGGTTGTAATGATATTGCAAATCGAAATAATTCCTTAAATAAAAAGATACATTCAATAAAAAATATGTTAAATTTAAAAAACAACAAAAAATTTACATTACAAAAAAAAATTAAACAAAAAATACATTAAACAACATAATACGGAGTATAAAGTAAAAAAAATCTGTTTGTCTATGTTAAAAAAATAGTTTTATAATCTTATGACATTAATGTATTTTTTTGTTGTTTTTTAATGGAGAGACTTGACACATTTTCGCTTTTTTCTACGTTAACCCCTTAACGCACAAGTGGTGAAGTTCCAAGTGGGCGGTGCTTAACAATCCTTTGGCATTAAAACCAGCAAAATCGTTGGGGCATTATGACCATTTCCAATGATCTTATACTCACTCTGCCCCTAAATATTCACCACATTTGCTTTTTCAGCAGTCGCGAGTACTTTTGTTTATTTCGACATTTCATTAATTATTTGATAAAATAAAATATTCTTGACACCTCTTATTTCGAAGAACTTTTCATGTAGTTTTTTTATATATAAATTTTATTTTTTATTTTTATTCTAATATGTAAATAAAATGAATTGAAAAAACTTGATATATTACCTCGAGAATACAAATGTGGCAAATAATTTGGGACGGAGTAAGTATATAGTTACACTCCCTCACGAAAAAGAATTATTCATTCATTGAATAAGATCATTCCTAGCCAATATTTCATCTGATATTTTCTTTATTTTTAACAGTTATCAACTTATACAAATAATTGTCCACTCACCAATTGAAATGCCACATATCTAGTTAATTTTACACTCTATAGTAAATGAATAATTTCGGGAAGTATTGACATCAATTAATAAATTTTAGTGTATTAACATAAAATCACTTATTTTCTGAAATGTTCATGTACTTTTTTCCCATATTTTTCATCACTCATAATTTTCTTTCCCCATTCCGATTTTTTTCTTCAAATATTTATTTTCAATTTTTAATTACTTTTGAAAATTGAACTAATTTTCTAACTTTTATTTTGTTTCTCAAGAAACCTAATTCCATTCAATTTGTTAAAGATTAATTCACGCACTCCTAATCCTAGTACAAGCTTGTCATGCAAGTATGTATATAGAGAGTATATCAAAGTATCCTACGTTGAGTAAGAATTTAAATTATTGAAACAATGAACACTTATAAATAGCTACTAGGTTACCCCCCTAATGTCATTACATTATTGTGTCCAAAAACAATAATCCATTCCTCGACAATACTAAACACTTACAATTATGGCTATACTCACTCACCTCGTCGGCGACAACTTGAGCTTCAAGTATTATAGTGATGTTGCCGATCATGAAGATGTTGATCCTTACAACCTTACCATGGCTGAGTGCTTGGGCAGTCTGTACTTTGAAGTGTCTCGCGTTGGCAAAGAAGACGATCGCGATGAAGACCTAAAGATGGAGAAGAAAGAAAAGGGTAAGAAGGTCATTGTTGTTGATCATCACAAAAGTGGCACCAAAAAAGTTCAAGAAAGATTCGATGATGATGATGGTGATGACGATGATAGTGAGTTTTGGGTTGAATCCAAGATTCGCAAGAATGTTAGGGAAAAGTGTAGACTAAAGGCGGCGGCGGCAAAAAAGGCGAGGAAGCATCACTGAGTTCTTTGGAAAATATGATCATCTGTCACCAAATATGATCACCAAGTTTTTTTTGTTTTCTTCTGATTATTTAAACCAGATTTTTTTAGGGTAATCCAGATATAAGTTAGTCTTGATTTTTAATTTTGCATCATTAATTTGAAAGAGATTGTATTTTCAATTTGAATTGAGAGTTTATTAATAAGATATCTGTTTTTTTTTGTTTTTAAATTTCAACTTTTGTAAAACTTTCGGAGATTTCAAGCTTGGCAAAATAAATTTGATTCCCCAGTTGCCAAAATAGAATGATAGGACAAATTGAAGGCAATCAGTCTTGGTTAAAAAGACAACAAACTGAACCAAGGGCAAAAGTGAACCCTAGGGCAAAATCAACCAGAGGAAGTGAATAGACTACTTACATGGGCTATACTAGGTCTCGGCATTCAACTTTTCGAAGAGAATTTTGCTCAGAAGCTTCGGATTTGCCTTGCCTTTGGATTCCTTCATCACCTTCAGGTTTATTTATTTTTGCACAAAAAAAAAACACCCACTTCAGTAGTGTACAAATATTACACCACACAAAAAGACCGAATTGAAGCAATTAGCTAACGTAATCAAATACTAAGAAGAGAACACACACCTGGCCAGCGAAATAACCTTGCAATTTTGTTTTGCCACCACGGTACTGCTCTACTTGCTTCGGATTGTCAGCAATTACTTTATCAACCATTTTCTCTATCTCTTGAGGGTCTAAAATCTGATATTTGAGATATAAAAGCATTCTCTGTCATGCCTAATTGGACCTCACTAAGCTCACATACTGACACTACTTAAAAGTGCGCACATGTATAATCTACAGATTAAGCCACAGAATGTAGCAGCATAATATAATGATCCATATTCCATGCTAGTTTCTTTTATAGTGTGTGTGTGTGTGTGTTGATACAACGTGGCATAACTTGCCTGAACCAACCCCTTTTCTTGTATCATCCCCTTCACAGTTCCACCTTTGGCCATTATCTCAAACAAAATCTGCACATGTCATGTTTGAACAGTCAAAAAAGAAAGGATCACCATTTGGTGAAATCAGGACTAACACCTTGCCACAATTAAAAAACTGTCAAATTTTAGCATAAAATGCAGGTGTCTGTTACTATGATAAGCTAAAATTTGCAAATAAGGTTTGTCTTTCATTTTAAGAATCTCAATAGGTTTTTATGTTATTAAGATATGCTAAAAGGTTCGGTCATTTACATCAATTTTATAATACCTCTTTCCCAATCTTCCCACTGATAGTCCCCTCTTTAATTGCAGATATGAGCTCGCCTAGTTCATGAGGGGTAAGTTTAATATCGTTGATGGATATCTTTTCATTCTTCATGTATGCAGCTATGTCACCCATCATCCAATTAGTGGCCAGCTTAACATCTGCCCCTCCAGCAATTGTTGCATCAAAAAATTCTGCAACCTGTAACAATTTTCAGTTTGGTAAGAGATTATAAAGTAACAACAGCGTTTCAAAGCACAATGGTAATTTTCTTTTATAACAGAAATAAGTGCTGGAAGATTCAACAGGAAACACTAGGCCATCCCGAACTTATCTCCCTATTTCCTATTTAAGAAAGAATTGTTTGGTTTGTGTTCTTTCTAAAATAATCTAAACAACACATTCTCCCTATCTTAATAAGCACACAAAAAGAAACTGTGAGGATAAATAAGAGGCAGAGGGAGTATGAGCAATCAGGAAGGTTACTTGCATTAGTCATTAGCGAGGAAGAGTACATCCTGCATGCTCAATCCCATCTTTTCATACCTCCGCCGTTTCATTTCTGGAAGTTCAGGGAGTGATTTGTAAATACGGTCAACATAGTTATCAGTGATAGATACCCCAGGAAGATCTGGCTCTGGGAAATATCGGTAGTCAGAAAGCCCTTCTTTTTTCCTCATGGTTATTGTCTTCTAAAAGCACCAAAGACTATTATTAGGAAATATGAAAATCTTGTAAGGGCGGGGGAAGGGGATGAAGAGGGGCAATGTTAGGAAACACCGTTTAACCTGACCACCTTCTTCCCATAGACGAGTCTCTTGTACAATCTGGTCACCCTGGCCCTGGTCATGGAGGATTACTTGTCTTGAAATCTCAAAATCAATGGCCCTACTCATTGATGAGAACGAGTTCAAGTTCTTTATTTCTACCTGTTCATGGAAATTAAATATTGTTAAGGCTTAAACACATTCTTATCCCTGCATGTATAGTATTTTCTTTTTTTTTTTTTGCTTTAGTGAAATTACAATTTTTGGCATTCATCCTTCTAATTTACAAGCTTCTGAGACAATTCATCCCTGCAATTTACAACTAAAATCAATTACCTTTGTTCCAAATTCCAACTGCCCTATTGGACGAACAGAGATATTGACGTCACAGCGAAGTGATCCTTCTTGCATATTACCATTACTCACCCCCAAATACCTGACCAAGCGTTGTAATTCTGAGGCATACTCTGCGGCTTCAATACCAGTTCTCATATCAGGTTCAGAGACAATTTCAAGCAACGGGACCCCTGCTCTATTCAAATCAACCTGTTTTACAAGAACTGATCAAAGTTCATAACCTGCCCCCACAGACTTCATAATTGCATAAATAATGAGTTGAAAAGGGCTATAATTTATCATACTGTTAGTGACATGAAAGAAAACATCATACATGTACATACTACGGAGTAATAAGTAATAACATACCCTCACAAATGAAAGCAATTGTAAAATTCTTTTAAAGTTCAAGAAAAAAATATGTAGAAATCTAATTAAATGTGTATGGTTGTAAGACCTTATACAATAATAGCTACTCCCTACCCCTTCAAATGACATTGGATATATCCTATGCATTGAATTTCTAAATCAGCAATTATTTTGGAACACTTTTATTGGCGATTGGCGAAATCAACAACTAATTATGCAAATTAGGAAGAATAATATAACTATGCATTGAATTTCTAAATCAGCAATTATTTTGGAATACTTTTATTGACGATTGGCGAAATCAACAACTAATTATGGAGGGATAGAATAAAAACTAAATTACAAGATTTGTAAGAATTCAAATAAAAAAAAGTAATTACCTGAGAGTAACTCTTGTTGCCGGTATGAAGCAGCTTCCCGGCATCTTCTTCCATGTGAACCCTTGTAATCCCAAACCTCCTATGTCCACCACCCAACTCAACAGGTATATCCAGATCAAGATAACCACCAGTTGCAATGGGTATATCAAACTGTGATATTTGGTATCCCTTTGGGAGGTCTGGATAAAAGTATTGCTTCCTGTCAAACTTTGAGGTCATAGATAGCTTACAGTTGAGTGCAAGACTAACTTTTACAGCAGATTCTATAACCTTTGAGTTTAAAACTGGCAAGGCCCCAGGTAAACCCACACAAACGGGGCAAATGTTAGTATTTGGAATAGCCCCATAAGTGTAAGGACAGCTACAGAAGGCCTTTGTATGAGTAGAAAGCTGCACGTGGGTTTCAATACCAATGATTGCTTCGTAATCTTTCAAAATGTTATCGAGCCGTTTTGGATTGTTTTTTGGTGGCCCTTGCAGCTGTTTTTCAGTCTGGTTTTGTAAATTCTTCACAGAACAATATGAAGCGACGTGTTTTCTGGCAAAATAAGGGAATGAGTATTGCTTAGGAGCATAGAATTGTATCCCCTTAAAGAGTGTCAGAGACATCTTACGAATGCTTCAATCTAACTTCAAAAGTAAGATCAGTGAACATAGTCCCTGCAAATGATCATAGACATTACGCCATAGTTCCAATAAATAAATAAAATGTAAACATTAAACATAAATTTCGTCATTCCTCAAAAGTTTAGATTCTTCTTCTTCTTCTTCTTTTAGTTCATCTTGTACTCTATCTATACACAACAGAAATTAACTATATCACCAATGTAGCTATAGACAGCTTTTTGAATTTGAAAGTGTTCAATTTTTCACAACAGCAATAGCATCCTTGCATCAAAGTTTCTTTTGCTTAAGCACTAGGAAAATATGATTAAAAAATGCAAATTTCAAAATGGATAGCATTAAAAGTTAAAGATTAATACTGGTATAATGCAATAGATCCACCTAAAAAACACATTTAAAAAAAACATACACTGCCTAATAAGTGGCTTGTAAATAAATATCCAAAACAAATTGAAAAATTGAAAAACAAAACAAAGCAAATAATAGTCAGAAACTTGAAAATACAATGAATGACAGGAGATCTGGAGAACAGCATTTAGCAAAGCTGTTGCAAACGTTTTGGAGGCTCCTCAGGCTCAAGGCATAGTAAATAACAAAAATTGAACGGAATAGTTTGTTTTACAAACAAAAAATTACTACGTACAAATGCAATTTCGTTTAAACACAAAGAGATCAACGAAAATTAACAGCATTTGGAAGGGGTGGACGGCGATTGTACAATTGGATGTATAGAGAATTTGGATTCGATAAGAAAAAATCTACTAGGAGGTTTAAGCAGCGAAGATGAAGATGGTGTAGAGAAATAAATACCAGAGGTTGTACATTCTCCATATGGCTAAGGAAGATCGGAGAACTGTTCGCCGATTAGTCGACGAGTGCTGGCCATGGTAGCCCCGCCGTACAGTCGAAATTCTATAGATAAAAGGTACTTTCATTTGGAAAATGAAATTGTTTACTTAAAAATGTATGGTAAGAAAAAAAATATTTCTTCCGTCCCACACAACATTACTCGTTTTGAATAATATTTTGTTAAAAAAGTACACATTTGACTTCAATTTGTTAGAAAAGTATATTAAATTATCATATAAATTTAATATAATTGGATATCTTAAAATCTACTCTCTCCGTCCCATAAAGTGTTACCCATTTTGACTAAGGTTGAAATTAAGGGAGAGATAATTTAGTGTTGATTTTCCAAAAATACCCTTGATGTGATTGGTAAAAGTAGAATGTGATGTGTAGATTATTAGGAAAAAAGTACGTAGTATGATGTAATAGATAGAGTTTGAAAAAATAAAGGGTAAAAATGACTTTTTAATAGAAATGAGTAAGGGATTCTGGGATCAATTTTTTTGAAACGTGTAAATCTTTTTGGGATGGATGAAGTAGTTTTTATATATCAAATTTTTATAACATTTTTTTATTTAAATTATATTTAATTTATGGTCAAAGCGTGTAAATATTTATCCAAAAAAACATCAAAATGGGTAATATTTAGTGGGATGGAGGAAGTATTAGGGTACTGGAAATGCGTCTAATGTTGGGGGCATCATCCAACATTTAACGTTGGAGCAGCGTTAAACACCGCCTCCCTCTTGCTTTAAGTCGGTGTCATCTACGTTGCGTTTAAAGGTTTAACACACAAATTTTGAAGGAAAGGAGTCATTGCCCCCAAACGGCTATAATGTCGTTGGGCATTATTTTTTAAAAATTAATTAATTTTTAATACTATAAATACTCTTTATTTTTAACACAACAAACACAACAAATATATTCTCATTCTCTCTATAATTTATTCAAAATACATTTTATTTCTTTTAATTCTCCCTACAAAATATATGGAAAATGAGACCATCATCTGACGATGAAAGAATAGCTCTCGTTTTTTGTTCTTTCACAGTGGGTTGTTGTCAACCACGGATTTGATTTGAAGATATTTTTAGTCACTCGAATAATCACTAATTTTTTTCGTAAAGTGCTTCTTTGGTGCACCTTGGATGCATATCAATTTTGTAGACTTTCTCACATATTTTTTCATATATAAAAACAAATGCTTGTTTAAGTAGTAAAGAATTATTTATTTTGCTCATATGTACATCCATGGTGGACCTAAGATCCACCATAGAATTTGCCTTCTTCATAATACGTTGTATAATGTAATTTTAATTTTTCTTTATTTATGTTGTTATTATTCAAATCTTACTAACTAGTAACTACCTCCGTTCCAATATATTTGTCCAGTTTGAGTTTTTCGAATCAAATAAACTGGACACTTTGAACTCCAATTATTCTCAATTGATATCGCATATAAGCATAGTGAAATACAAATTTCAAAGATCTTAATACGATAAATTCTATAAAGTCATTTTTATGTTAAAATACATTACAGTTTCCATTTAATTATAGTTAAAGTTTATCCAGTTTGACTCAAAAAAAGTCAAACTAGATAAATACACTGGGACGGAGAAAATGTTTTATTAATGTAATTTTTTTATTGAATGTAATTTTTTGTATTTAATGAATTGTTGTCGTTTAAATTCAATTAAATAATAAAATTTTATTGACTTAATTTTAGAAGATTACTTCGAATGGAGAGACCCCAAGTGCCTCGTTATAGGTACAATTAATAGCCAATTCTGCCCATGGTAAAAGCACTGCCCATCTGGATGGCCGTTCAGAAACAAAAGCCCGGAGGTATTGCTCGAGATAGCGGTTAAGAACTTCGGTCTGGCCATCGGTCTGTGGGTGATAGGATGTTGAATACTTCAAGGAGGTCCCACTCAGCCGCAAAAGTTCCTTCCAAAAATTGCTCATGAAAACCGGGTCACGATCGGAAACCAACGAACGAGGAAACCCATGATGTTTGACAACGATATCGACAAACAAGAGCGCCACCTGGGGAGCATCAAACCCTGTTGGGAGTGGCCCAAAATGGACGTATTTGCTCAGCCGATCGACGACTACCAAGACAGCAGTGAACCCTTTGGACGGCGGTAATCCCGTCACGAAATCCAATGACGCCGCTTCCCAAACCCGGTCAGGGATGGGCAATGGTTGGAGTAGGCCCCCGGGTTTTTGCGTGGAATATTTGGTTGCTTGACAGACCGTACAGGAAGCTACAAACTGCCGCACCGCTCGGCGCATGCCCGGCCAAAAGAAAACAGCCGCCAAACGGCGAAAAGTGCGGTCGACGCCCTGGTGCCCGGCTGTTGGTGTGGCGTGAAACTCATGGAGTAGTTGTAGGCAAAGGGGCGACTCGGGGCTGATGTACAAATGGTGGTCGTAGTAAAGGATCCCGTCATGAACCGAGATATGTGGTGGTGCTGACCCAGCTTGAACTGCCGTGTGTATGGCCACTAGGTCCGGCAGAGAGGAATTTTCTGTCCGTAGGGCCTGTAGGAGATGGGGGATGGGCTGTGCATATGCTGCCAATAGGCCGGCTGGATCCGTATCCTCCTCCGGGCGAGATAACGCATCGGCGGCGCGATTCGTGGCCCCCACTTTATATTCGATACGAAATTTGTAACCCATTAGTTTCCGAATGTAGAATTGCTGATCCGGCGTCTGAATGACCTGTTGAAGAAGTTCCTTTAAGCTCCGCTAGTCACTACGAATTACAAATTCGCGTCCCAACAAGTACTGACGCCATTTGTGAACCGCCTCGACGATGGCATATAATTCCTTATGATAAGTAGACGCCACCCGACGTCTTGGTCCCAAGGTTTTGCTAAAAAAGGCAATAGGGTGTCCCTCTTGTGTGAGCACCGCACTGATCCCATAGTCAGAGGCATCGGTCTCCACGAAAAAAGTCCGGTTAAAATCAGGTAGGCGGAGTACGGGGGCTGTGGTCATTGCGTGCTTGAGGCGCTCAAAACTGGTGTCAGCCGCCTCATCCCAATGGAACCCATCTTTCTTTAACAATCTCGTCAGTGGGGCGGCAATGGTGGCATAGCCGGCGACAAAGCGGCGGTAATATCCTGTTAGGCCTAAAAACCCACGTAGCTGCTTCACTGTCCGCGGCTTGGGCCAAGCAATCATGGCCGAAATTTTTGTCGGGTCAGGTTTCAAAACTCCTGCCGAAAGAAGATGCCCCAGGTAATCGATCGTGGACCGGCCAAAAGAACATTTGCTAAGCTTGACAAAGAATCTGTGGTCTTGTAGTGTAGACAACACCGACCGAAGATGCCCCAAATGGTCCTCCAAAGAAGCACTGTATACTAGGATATCATCAAAGAATACAATGACGTACCGCCGTAAGATGGGCCGAAAGATACTGTTCATGGCAGCTTGAAACGTCGATGGGGCGTTTGTGAGGCCGAACGGCATCACAAGGAACTCAAAATGCCCATCCTGTGTTCGAAATGCCGTCTTGTACACATCGCCTGCGTGCATACGAATTTGATGATACCCGGAGCGCAAATCCAGTTTTGTGAATATGCGCGCCTTGCCCAGCTCATCAAAAAGTTCATCCGTAGTAGGAATCGGAAAATGATCCGGGATTGTGGCGGCGTTCAATGCACGGTAATCGACGCAAAAGCGGTATGTCTCGTCCTTCTTGCGCACTAGCAATACGGGAGAAGAGAAGAGGCTGGTGCTTGGTCGAATAATACCCTGCTCGAGCATCTCCTGGACTTGTTTTTCAATTTCGGTTTTCTGAAAATACGGATAGCGATAGGGCCGAACATTCACTGGTTTGGTCGCCGGGGCGAGATGAATCCTGTGATCCCAACAACGGGCTGGCGGTAACCCACTGGGCAGGCCGAAAACTGCTGCAAAGTCTGCTAAAATATCCCGGATAGGCCGCGGCACGTCGGCAGGGATTTGCTCGGCCGATGCTCCCTGTGCGGCGGAAGCAGTAGAGGCAGCGACAATCTCATAATAATCACATGGCTCTGGGGATGCGGCGAGAGCACAGAACTGACTATAGGAAATGGGACGTGGAGTAGGGGTGTCACCGCGCAGAGTAATAGTACGGTACGGCCCTGCCAAGCAAATTCCATGGTCATCTCCGAATAATCATGAGATATTTTGCCGAGTGTTTGAAGTCACTGAACGCCGAGTACTACATCTGGTCCGTAGATAGCAAGAACATAAAGATCCACCTCAAAGACGTGGCCTTGTAGGGATAAAGGGGTCTGCGGGCAAGAATAGGCGCAACGTAAAGAATCACCGTTACCCACGTAGACTCGAAAAGCCGGGGTAGGATGTAGAACTAACGCCAACCGTTCGGCCACCGCAGGATGTAAAAAATTGTGGGTACTGCCCCCATCCAGCAACACTTGAACGGCCACACCATTGATAGAGCCGGCCATCTTCAACGATCGAGGACTACCTGCCAAGGATAATATGCTCGAAACATCCCCTGCGATTGTATCCTCGGTGAGATTTGTTGTGGGGAGATCGCTGCTAATCTCGTCGTCATCATCGGGGCCCATAAGAACCAAAAAATGGTGTTTACAATTATGTCCCGGTACCCATTTTTCATCGCAGTACCAACAGAGCCCTTTCTTATTGCGCTCCGTCTTTTCGGCTGGGGACAAACGAACCACTGGAAGAGAAGCCTTGTCCCCCGGTCGGCCTGTGATCTGAGGTTGCCGTGGGGTGGGGACTGGGGTGGGCAGAATACCCGTGCCTGGGGTGAAAACCTGCCGGGACTGCCATGGCTTCTTGTTGGCAGAATAAGACGGCGCGGCCTCTTCATGACACGCCGACAGCTCTGTGGCGAGGGCAAAATCAGAGGCGAGGGTGGACGGGTTCTGTAAATTTACCTCGCGGCGCACCGGTTGCTTGAGCCCTGCAATGAACATGGCAATAAGAGTTGCCTCGGGTACCCCCGAAACCTTATTGAGAATGGTCTCGAAAGCCGATTGATAGTCCATAACAAAAGAGGTCTGTGATAACTTAGATAACACTCCAATATAATTCTCATAATAGCTTGAATCAAAACGTTGTTGTACCGCATCCAAGAACTCGGGCCAAGTGGCCCCGGGATTATTAGCTTGGAAATAATGAAACCATTCCGATGCGGGGTGGTCGATGAGCATGGCGACCAATTGTAACCGTTCCGGTTCCGGGGTGAGGAAGTAATCAAAATATCTTTGTACCTTAAAAATCCAACCCTTCGGATCCTCACCGGAAAAACGAGGAGCATCCACCCGCATCCGTGGAGCAGGATCGAGTGTGGGTGGTGTCGTGCGGGAAGGAGGAGGCCGCCACCCAGGAGTAAACTGCGCCGGATAACGACGCTGGGGTTCTGTGCCTGGCCGATTGGCCACAGCCAGTTCCGCCACCCTCGTTTTGGTGGTCTGCAAATCATTTTGCAATTCCGCAATAGCACCCATGATATCGGCGAGAGTGAAGGCATCAGAAGGGGCTCCGGAATCAGCCATGAGTACGTCAATGAAAGCACCAGTTGATACAACCTTGTATCAAGCCTTACGGCAGTAGGGAAACAAGAAGAAAGAGAGAGATGGACGATACTTCCGATCGGCCGTAGAATAATTATGAATTTTGAATTTTTAAGTGAGATGATTTCTTGATATGATATCACAGTTTTGATGATTAAGAAGTTACGAGTTGAAATATGAATGTCACCCAGTTTTAAAAAATTAATTTTCATGTGCAAATACTTACCTTTATATTCTTATTAAATAAGTTTACTTTTTTGGAATTAATTATTTTTGATCGGGGGCAAAAAAAAATTTGTACAATGGCACACTTTTAATTTTTTTTATATTTTTACATTATTATTTTTTAAAAAAATTGATCACGAGCAGGTGCCATAAAAGCGAAGGATTATGATACTCCGTATGTATTAATGTAATTCGACTTCTTTATGTCGTAAGATTACTCTTGTTTTAATGTGTTTGGATTTATAAACTATGGTCATAAATCATAATAATAAGAAGATCCGGTTTTTGATAAGAAAAACATATGGGATCGAATAATACACCCCTCCCCCCCTCCCCCATTAGCTCTCTGATTTTAATAAAATAAAAAATTACAAAAATAAAATATGTTTATCATGTCTTTAGCACAAAAAAAATTATTGACACAAAAAGATAAGATTGAAACTTTTTTTTGAAATAACCTCATCACCACACGTAAAAATAAAGTTTTGTTCCGGGGTGAAGCTCAGCTGGTTGAAAGAGCAGTCTCACAGCCTCACACAGAGTTATCTCAGTTCAATTCCTTCAACAAGAAAGAAAGATGATCATTTGAACATCAAATTCTTGCAAGTATCAGAGACAAATCTTACTGAATCTCGATGACACTAAAGTTATACGTAAATTTAACTTCTCTCAGTCAATATTAGAAGTCATTGAGTTGTTTGCCCATAAAAGAAAAAGGATTAAATTTGTACACCAAACAAACACAGAAAAAACAGACACTTAGTGTTTGTGGATCACAAATACTAAATATCTGTGTTTGCCTGGTGTACAAATACTCCCTCCGTCCCATAAAATATTTCCTATTTCAAAAATGGCACACCTTTAAAATGAGTAATTTTAATATTATTTTTTAATTATGACTAATCTATTCTACACATCTCATCCTACTCTTTTATAAAGTAAGGGAAAAATTAGAAAATAACACCAAAATTACTCATTTTAAAGGCGTGCCATTTTTGAAACAGGAAATGTTTTATGGGATGGAGGGAGTAGTCATCTTATTTTGGTATACTCCTAGTATGCCCCTCATATGTATGGGAGTGAGACCAAAAAATAGTTTTTAATGATATGAAAGAAGGCAAAAAAAACAGTGGAGATTCATATGCCTTACTAAACAATCTTTGTTTCAGGTCAATGGTCATTTCGTTCAACAAAATGTTTTTTGTACATCATGTGTTGTGTTTATGTCCAAACAAAAAATAAAAAAAGTACATCCCCCTCCCATATGTTTTTGGGCAATGCTAGGGATACATCAACATGAGGTACTCCAAGTGTACACCAAGCCAACACAGACACACACAGACACTTTGTGTCTGTGTGTCTGTGTTGGCTTGGTGTACACTTGGGGTACCCCATGTTGGTGTACCCCTAGCTTAATTGTTTTTTATTCATTTGAACCTTTCTTCAATTATTTTTCCACTTATATTTTGTGATGTTCTAAACTTTTCTTCAATTTCTTTTTTAAGGATTTGTATGATTCAAGCTATCATTTTTTGAATAAATCACAAACCATACAATATAGAGAGTAACATTTTTTTTATATATAAGTTCGTCTTCAAATTAAATTTAATTTTTTTTTTTAAAAAATAAGGGAATAATTTTTTTTGGACAAGGGTACCCTTAAATTGATGGCATTAAAATTTAAAAATGTGTTCTCCTCAACTTATTTTTTTTACTTATTCTTATTGCAATCATATTACATTAGACCAAATTAGAAATAATTTTAAATATAATTATATTCAGATCAGATCAGTAATTATTCCAATTAGATCAAAACTATTCAGATGTTAACAAGTGAGATTGTAAAAAAGAAATTAGCTTCGTTTTCAGTTTTCCCATTATCCAACTGGATTACACTAATTCATGGGTCATCTATATAATAATTAGCACTATGGGTATATGGCAACTCAATCCCATTGTCTTCAACTAAGGAAAGTGCTTAATGGCAACCCTTACTGTACACATTGTCACCAAGTACTCCGTATTAAGGATCACATAATATTAGACCTTTTTTCAACTGTTTAAACGGAACTCAAAATACAAACTTAAAATGCAGTAATTTATTTGTAGTTCATTTCTTAAAACTCAAACCTAAAATACAGTAATTTGTAGATTATATATTTATAAAATGCACTCAACTATATAAGAGAACTAAAGATAAACGCATAAATACATAAAAAGTTAAACACAAAATTGAAAAAGGCTACAACAAAAAAAAACAAAGAACAAAGAAAAAAATGCAATATTCCCATTGCTAAAGGGATATGTGCTTTGGAAGAGAGGAGAGAGAAGAAATACTCAAAATGGATTTGAATTTGGAGGATGATTGGGGAATATGGTAGTGCAAATTTTTTTTTTAAACAATTAATCTATACTATTAAAAAATACGAGTATGAAATGTTTAAAACGACAACACTAATTTAAAGTAGAAAAATGCTATTATAACCCCACATCAACATTTGAATCTCAAGGTTTAACCCTAGTCTTATAGACATTAAAGACACTCGATATTATTCCATATTTGTAATGTCTATAAGACTAAGATTAAATATTGAAATTAAAATGTTGAGTTCAATCAAGCATAACATTTTAAAGACCAATCAAGGCAAAATAGTGTGTAAAAGCACCTCATTAATTATTATGAGCACAAATGGTGCTTTGTGCAGTTCCAAATGGCTAGCTAGTGATGTGCTTCCACTTTTTGAAAAATGGATTTGACTCTTGCTTGAATTGGTCCCGTTTGTCCACCCACTATTTAATGGATTGATGTAAATCATCAATGTTAATGATGTAACATGATTTGAGCCATGATGATTTAACACAACAATGATAATGGTGTATTATATTGATGTTTATAATAACAACTCATACTTGTCTAGTTTTAGGAACTTTTCGAGACTATTAATTGTACATCTTTCATCTCGGAAAACTTTCCCGATTTTGACTTTTAAGACAGAAAATATATAAAAGTTTGACCAAGGCGAAACGATGACAATTGAAACAAATTGGGATTGAGAAATATTAAAATGAGTAGAGCGTAGATGGTGGTTGAGATACGTTCGATTACATTTAAGATAAGTAAAGAAAATTATGTCAATTTTAACGAAATTGATATGTTTCAATGATGGATAAGAAGTGAAAGTTGAAATATTTTAAGGAACGGAGGATTTACTTTTTTTACCAAATTAATGATATTGATTGGTTTGTTAGGTTAAACGGTAAGGGCGGTCAATAAGCTTCGGGAGGGGTGTAATCGATGATCAAAATTTGTCAAAATTGATTCAAAAAAAATTAAATTAGACGAATATTCTAGAACAAAGAGAGTATATTAAACTCATTGATATTAACATCGGGAGTTCAGATCAGATGTTAAAAAGTCATTTATAGAATATATTTAAAAAAATTCTTATTTTCTAAATTACTAATTGTAATTCTTTTTGGAAGAATGGCTGTTTTTTATATGTATTTATTTGATTTTATATACTCCGTACTAAATATAGTCTAAATTTTGAATTACGGAGTAAAAAAAATTCAAAGTCTTAACTTAGAAAAAATTTGAATTACATTTAACAATTTCTAACTAGGGCTACTAAAAGTTGGATTGAATCTGTATCATAAATTGCATAATTCATTCATTTATACATCAAATTGTTTTTTTTAAAAAGAAATTCGTATACGGATCGGAGTATATATTTATCAAATTCACTTGTCAACCTGTTAATTTAATGGCCCATTCTACCCGATTTCATTGGGTTTGGGTTTATTGGGTAGTACGGAGTAAAGGCTAGTCCATTAGAAGCCCATAACTTTGTTTATAGTATCACTCTTATTTAGGCGGTATTCTCTTGATCCGATTTGATTGGTTCTGATATGATTAGAATAAATTCTGATCTGATTAGATCTAGTTAGATCTGATGTCAATGTAGCTATATTTAAAATTATTTCTGATCTGATCTTATTTAATCTTATTCTATTAACAATAAGTAATAAATACGGAGTAAAAAAAGTTGGGGAGAAGAGGATCTCCATAAACTTTTACCTTAACGTTGTAGATAATGCTAGGAGTAGATAATCCATGCATGATGAGGATTGATGAATGTATTTGCGTACCTATTGACAATTTATAACAATAACAAATTCGTCAATCCTCAACTTCAATCACATCAGCATTCTATTAATTTTTCTATCTAGCTTTAAAATCTGATTATGATATTGCCCTAAAACCCGTCTCTCCATTTTTTTAACATATATATTTAAGAAAACAAAATACTCTCTCCGTCCCAGAGTATTTGTCCACTTTCATTTTTACAAACCATCCAACACACTTCTTTAATCCATTTT